ATAACCGAATCACGTAATCTACGTAGGGACCCAACAAACAGGTTATAACCGAATCACGTAATCTACGTAGGGAACCAACACACAGGTAATAACCGAATTACGTAATCTACGTAGGGACCCAACAAACAGGTTATAACCGAATCACGTAATCTAAACGGGAAAAAAATACACAGGTTATAACCGAATCACGTAATCTAAAGGGGAAAACAATACACAGGTTATAACCGAATCACGTAATCTACGTAGGGAACCAACAAACAGGTTATAACCGAATCACGAAATCTAAAGGGGGAAACAATACATGGGTTATAACTGAGTCTTCAGAGAGAACCAACACACAGGTTATAACCGAATCACGTAATAACGTAGGGAACCAACACACAGGTTATAACCGAATCACGTAATCTACGTAGGGAACCAACAAACAGGTTATAACCAAATCACGTAATCTAAAGGGGGAAACAATACATGGGTTATAACTGAGTCTTCAGAGAGAATCAACACATTGGTTGTCACCAAATCTACAGCGCGAATCAACACACTGGTTATCACCAAATCTACAGCGGGAACCAACACACGGGTTATCACCAAATTTACAGCAGGAGCCAACACACGGGTTATCACCAAATCTACAGAGAAAACAACCACACTGGTTATCACCAAATCTACAGCGGGAACCAACACACGGGTTATCACCAAATCTACAGAGAAAGCAAACACACTGGTTAACACCAATTCTAACACGTCTGTGATGTAACGACGGTTTTCATTGATTAAGAAGAGTGCATTATTGAGCTATATACCATGCGCGTGCTAATAACCAATGCACGTGAAATAGTGCGCACGCATGCTGTTCCAACAATGTCCCCGTATTTTTTCATGAATTAACAAAAATAGCATAACTGTCTGGCGGGATCAAAATATTTGACAGGCCTGCCATTCAAAAGATTACATGGATCTAAAGTCCTAAAGTATGTGGGTCCGTGCAGTGAAAATGGTTTATTAATTAGTGACATTTAAAATGTACAGGTCTGAAGACAAAATTGTAAATTATTAATTACTTCTGTTTTTACTTAACTGGGTAGTGCCGTACACTTCACGATGTGTGCAGTGTGTGTATGTACTGTCAAGCGTTGATTTCATGTTTTGACGAACGATGTCGATAGCGTGCCAATGTTTGATTGGTTGAAATAAACATCGTATCTGACGTCACAAGTGTTCAGGTGTTTCTGGTCTTCAAAACGTCATCTGCTTTCAAATTATCAACATGGCTTCAAGTTCAAGTCGAGCATTCGCCTACAGTGTACATACCGTGTGTGAAGAATAATGTTGCAAAAAGTAGCATCGGTCTAAACAGTGGTTGCAAAACACAGCTGTCCGGTGAAGTCGGTGAAGGTGAAGGTCACGGCAAGATCAGCCAGTCAGCGACTTTCCATCACGTCATGGCAACCAACTTAATATGCCAACTCATAACAGGCCTATCGTATGATGTTGTATCACTGGCACTTCCAAGAAAATCCGCTTGATATCGGTACGATGATGATGGTTTTAGAAGTAATATATAGGGATTCGAAAATCGGGATTCGAAAATGTTGGAAAAATTAATTAACTCAGGTCGTAGCGGCCTTCGTTGATTATTTTCACCAACATTTTCTCACCCTCGTTATATATTCCACCATAATGAACGCACATATGTTGATTATTTCTTAAATATACAGCGGGAACCAACACACGGGTTATCATCAAATCTACAGGGAAAACCAACACACTGGATATCACCAAATCTACAGCGGGAACCAACACACGGGTTATCACCAAATCTTCAGCGGGAACCAACACACGGGTTATCACCAAATCTACAGCGGGAACCAACACATGGGTTATCACCAAATCTACAGAGGTAACCAACACACGGGTTATCCTCAAATCTACAGCAGGAGCCAACACACGGGTTATCACCAAATCTACAGCGGGAACCAACACACGGGTTATCACCAAATCTACAGAGGTAACCAACACACGGGTTATCCTCAAATCTACAGCAGGAGCCAACACACGGGTTATCACCAAATCTACAGCGGGAACCAACACACGGGTTATCACCAAATCTACAGAGGTAACCAACACACGGGTTATCCTCAAATCTACAGCAGGAGCCAACACACGGGTTATCCTCAAATCTACAGCAGGAGCCAACACACGGGTTATCAACGAATCTAAAGCGGGAATCAACACACGGGTTATCACCAAATCTACAGCAGGAATCAACAAACGAGTTATCACCAAATCGACAGAGAGAACCAACACACGGGTTATAAACGAATCTAAAGCGGGAACCAACACACGGGTTATCACCAAATCTACAGCCGGAACCAACACACTGGTTATTACCAAATCGACAGAGAGAATCAACACACTGGTTATCACCGGATCTAAAGCGGGAACCAACACACGGGTTATCACCAAATCTAAAGCGAGAACCAACACACGGGTTATAAACGAATCTAAAGCGGGAACCAACCGACGGGTTATCAGCAAATCTATAGCGGGAACCAACAGACGGGTTATCAACAAATCCACAGCGGGAGCCAACACACGGGTTATCAACGAATCTACAGCGGGAACCAACACACGGGTTTTCAACGAATCTAAAGCGGGAACAAACAAACGGGTTATCACCAAATCTAAAGCGGGAACCAACACGCGGGTTATCAACGAATCTAAAGCGGGAACCAACACACGGGTTATCACCAAATCTAAAGCGGGAACCAACACACGAGTTATCACCAAATCTATAGCGGGAACCAACAGACGGGTTATCAACAAATCCACAGCGGGAGCCAACACACTGGTTATCAACGAATCTAAAGCGGGAACCAACACACGGGTAATCAACGAATCTAAAGCGGGAACCAACACACGGGTTATCACCAAATCTACAGCAGGAATCAACAAACGAGTTATCACCAAATCTACAGGGAAAACCAACACACTGGTTATCATGGCAAATACATATGATAACGACCCATGGTTTATCACAAAGTTTTAGCAAACATATTATCAACAAATCTACAGCGGGAACCAACACACGGGTTATCACCAAATCTAAAGCGGGAACCAACCGACGGGTTATCAGCAAATCTATATCGGGGACCAATAGACGGGTTATCAGCAAATCTACAGCGGGAGCCAACAGACGGGTTATCAGCAAATCTATAGCGGGAATCAACACACGGGTTAGCATGGCAAATACCTATGATAACGACCCACGGTTTATCACATAATTTCAACACACACATTATCAGCAAATCTATAGCGGGAACCAACAGACGGGTTATCAGCAAATCTGCAGCGGGAGCCAACAGACGGGTTATCAGCAAATCTATAGCGAGAATCAACACACGGGGTAGCATGGTAAATACATATGATAACGACCCACGGTTTATCACATAATTTCAACACACACATTACCAGCAAATCTATAGCGGGAACCAACAGACGGGTTATCAGCAAATCTACAGAGAAAACCAACACACTGGTTATCACCAAATCTACAGCGGGAACCAACAGACTGGTTATCACCAAATCTACAGCGGGAACCAACACACGGGTTATTACCAAATCTACAGCAGGAATCAACAAACAGGTTATCACCAAATCGACAGAGAGAATCAACACACTGGTTATCACCGGATCTACAGCGGGAACCAACACACGGGTTATCACCAAATCCAAAGCGGGAACCAACAGACGGGTTATCAGCAAATCGGTATCGGGGACCAATAGACGGGTTATCAGCAAATCTACAGCGGGAGCCAACAGAAGGGTTATCAGCAAATCTATAGCGGGAATCAACACACGGGTTAGCATGACAAATACATATGATAACGACCCTCGGTTTATCACATAATTTCAACACACACATTATCAGCAAATCTATAGCGGGAACCACCAGACGGGTTATCAGCAAATTTAAAGCGGGAACCAACAGACGGGTTATCAGCAAATCTATAGCGCGGGGACCAATAGACGGGTTATCAGCAAATCGACAGCGGCAGCCAACAGACGGGTTACCAGCAAATCTACAGCGGGAGCCAACAGATGGTTTATCAACACATCTATTACGGGAACCAACACACGGGTTATCAGCAAATCTATAGCGCGGGGACCAATAGACGGGTTATCAGCAAATATATAGCGCGGGGACCAACAGACGGGTTATCAGCAAATCTATAGCGCGGGGACCAACACACGGGTTATCAGCAAATATACAACGACAGCCAACACACAGGTTTCTGAATCAGCATATCGATTACATCGAGAACAAACACATACTACTACCGTATCAGTAGGGGGCGGGGGTAAGACGCTTGTTACCATGGAATCCACATTACGAAACATAACGGGTAAGGAAAACGACACATTGTTTCCACAACATGTACAGAGGAAGCAACCAACGGATTATCACTGAGCCTACAGCGGGAATCAACACAGGGCTTTAATGTCATCTACAGGGAGTAATAACACACGTGTTATCACGGAGTATAACAGGAGAAATAAAGCATCGATTATCATATAATTTCCTAGGGAAAATATGGCGGGAATTATCACCAAACCTAAGAGAAAAACAACTCACTGGTTATTGCGAAGTTGGTTGTATAGGGTTTAACGTCCAATCAACACCCAGGGTCATTTAAGGACGTGGCTCGATGATTGTTGTACATGTTGTGTATACGTTCAATTGCGCTGGATGCAGGGTATATTGGTGTTATTGCTCTTTGTGACGACACGGATCTGATGCTGACTTTATAGTGCTATATCACTGAAAATTCTACGCCGAGGGCACCACGCACATAACTCTGCCCGGTCACATTTTACTGAAATCGATTTTGGCGAAGAATAAAGGGGGAACAACACATGGGTTATTACTAAATCTACAGATAGAACCGACACGTCACTGTCACTGAATCAACAGGGGGAAAACAACGTGTTATCATCGAATCAACGTGGGGGGAAACACGGAATACCACCAAATCAACATCGAAGATATCCACAATGAAAGCACAAGTGTCATCAAAAAATATATAGGGGAAATAAATCACGAATTACACTATCAAGGAATCATCACCGAATACACACAGGGTCACTTAGGAACATAAAGGGGGGACCATATACGGGTTATCATCGAATCTACTGTAGTGAGGGTGAGAGGGGACAACGCACGAATACTCACCGAGTCTTCAGTGTAAACAATACACTGATCAGCATCAAATATACAGGGGAATACGTGTTAATGCAGCGCATGGATCATCACGGAAACTACAGGAAGGTGTATCACGTGATATACAGGTTGACACAACAGACAGCTTAGCACGTAATCTAAAGGAGGACACAACATATGAACCCTCACAGAATCTTTGCGGGCACAAAGCATGGGCAATCACTTTGAACAGAGGACAACATTCATTCACATACTCCCGTCCTTTACCTGAAAGGCAGTGAATTAATTTGTTTTTATTTTCTGCTTAAATGGGGATTTACTTTAAAACTTTTAGCGCTGTTCCGCCACACTCTCCCTTGTACGTTTAGTCGCCATTAGATTAGTTCCGTCACTCTATTTTAGGTACCGAGCAGCAAGCGGCCTCCTCTCTGTACAGTTTAACTCGTCTGTTTTACCAGTTGTGATAGATATACAGTGAAAATACCGTCTTCAACTTAACCTTGCAAACAGACAATTCAGATGAATTCTATCAATTACAGTAGTGCCAACCGTTAACCCATTGCAATAAATCCGGGCAGCAAATCTACGCCTCCTTCTTTTTAATTACTTCAAACGATTATGTGTTTCTCTGTTTAGAAGGCGGTCGTGTTCTTAATTACATTTGTTAACACTGGCTTAAAAAAGATTTTCCAAACATAGAAAGAAGGGAAAAAAATATCAGCTTAAAATGTGTCGATTTAAAGGTTGCATCATTAAAGGTAGCAGAAAGAAAGCAGGAAATAAAAGTAATATTTCCAAATGGTAAATTAATGATTTTGTAATATTTCCCATAAATTGTACAGTTTATAATTAATTAGCTATCTTATATATTACATTCGTATGTCTTCTCCGCCCCAGCAATATTATAACCAAATGATACTGATAAAATTACCACAACTCGGCCAACATAATTTTGGCCGACTTTTTCCTGAAATTGGCTAACTTTCAACTCGGCTAATATGAAAAATGCGCCAAATAGAGCGTGGACTTCATTCGGAATTTCTCGTGGTTGTTAGTTCTTTTTGACGTACCGTCCCGTGTCAACACAAACAACAACAATTGACATGATGGAGGGCAATTGAAGACATAAACAGGTATGATGTTCTATCCGACATTGATTCTACGGATAAAGAACTGATATTACTCTTGAGAAATTAAAAATTTAGAGAATGCCGACATTGTTCCCCCAGCAGCAGACGACAGTGACGCTCGGGCTAATATAACAACAGTAGTAGGAATATGTTTGTATTTTTCAGAAGACAGCAGATAATGTGGAAAGTATAAAATAAAATTGTTTTACATTTTTATACTTGAACTTGTGTTTAAATTTATGTATTCAAAATATTCACTGTTAATTAATAAAAGTGTCATAAATCAGCTGATATCATATTGGCCCTTGGTCTGTGATATTGGTCCGAGGCCGAAGCTTCGGGCCAATATGACAGATCGAGGTCTAATTCCTCGGCCAATATGATATCAGCTGATAAATAACACTATAATATGACCCAGGCATGGCCTGGAGAGAGCGCAGCTCGTATATTTTTTTCAATAGTATAGTATAATTTTTGAATCATAGCATTACCCATTTTAATACATACAAAATGTACCTGTAATTGTTTGTTTTTTTATAATATACTTGAATCTGTTGCTGGGCAAAATCATTCAAAACAAATTCCATGTAAATATACTTTAATAATCCTTTTTTATATTATCAACAAGAAATCACCCTGAAATTTAAGTCCGCGTATTCAGCGTCTAAAATACGTCGTGTGCTAACTCCAGCCACAGACATTTGTAACGAACCCCTGTGCTCCAGCTATGTCTGACAGCGACGTCGCGGACGTGTCCGAAGAATATGGAATGGCTGTGGTTTTGAATCAAGGCACACCATGTTTTGGGCGGGCCACCGAAGCTTGTCTGCTATAAGATCTTTTAACAGGTCCCTTTCAACAGAACAGAATAATTCACTGTCCTCTAGAATCTTAACTAGCGTCCGTTGCAAGTGGCGAAGCAGGTAAAATCGTCCCGGCTCGACGGCCAGTCCCCTCATCGATAGTAACACATGCCTTATACTCAAACGATGTGCTATTCCTGTTGACACCTTCGATCGACACAAGAATTCAGCCAACAGCATCTTTTAAAACGTCATCTGGTTTCTAAGGAAACTCCACATTTCACGAATGCACTTTCTATCTCGTTGGAGGTCGAACCGCTTCATTGCCTGATGATCGTACCGCTGCACAACCGTTTTTTAAACAGTCAGCTTTGTCCGCGAACACGGAATAAATTTCTGACTTTTTGCAACTAAAATAGTTTATATCGAATTTTTGTTTTAAATTTAGATCTACTGTCAATTTTTAAGATAATCAATGCTTGTTCAACATGCTGGTAATGTAAATTAAATTATTAAAAAATATGCAAAGTGGAACTATTTGTTTATTGCTCAACTGTGTATTTCGTCACCGTTGACAACGCATCATCTTTCCCGCGAAAAAGGCTGTTCAATTAATGTTGTTTTCATGACGGTGTTTTGCTTTTTAATGTGGAAAGAGATATTTTTTTCTGAATTTCAAATATTAAAAGTGGATGTAATAGAATGTAAATATAAGGTTTGAAATGCAACTTTTTAACATTTATGAGGGTATGCTAACGCGCATCATGGAAAATGTATGAACGGAACTGTGTTGCATGTGTTAACATAAATGTTAAAAAGATGCATTTCAAACCTTAATTAGAACCTATGCCTTAAATAAACGAGGCTTTCTTTTTTCTTCTGGCCTGTATGGTGA